AAAAAAAAAAAAAAAAAAAAAAAAAAAAAGGATTCTTTTTTTTTTGAAATTCCATTCACATAAAAGTTAAATGAGGTACATAATAAATGTGGGATGATAGATACAACAGCAGTAGCATTAGCATTAGCAGCAGTGAAGGCAGAACAAAAAGAAGACGAAGATTTAGTTTAAAATTACTATTGTCACTATTTATTTTACTATTACGCAAGATCTGTGGGCGATGTGGTGATCGTTGAGCGTTGATGAGCTTTTGGACACATTAAACCAAGTGATGCGAAAATTGGATCCAACACTTTACGGACAGCAAAATTCCATGCCTATAAATAAAACAACCAAACGTTTTTTTGACTGTAAACCGCCATCTACTTTATTTTGCAGATTTTATAAACTGTGTACTTTTTCTAAAAAAAAAAAAAAAAAGACAATTTTTTAATGCTTCAAAAAATTTCTGGTAAAAAATATGTACGGTTTTTTTTTTTTTTCTGCTGTATTTCCAAGCAAGTAATATAAATCAATCATTTCGGTTGACGTAACAAATGTGCCAACAATTATTTGATTTTTCATTTATTTTAATCCACCTACGGTCCGTCTTTCCGGCAAATTATGCATTGAAAAAAAAAAAAAATAAAACTATAAATAAAGACAAATAGAAGAATTGGTTTTTCCATATAACCATACTCCACAGTCATTATTCAATGCTCAAACAAATTTTTCTTTTTTTTTTTTTAAATTCATTGTAGGATAAAAAAACTGCAAAGTTTAAATTAAGTGGTTAAAAATTCTAAGAACTATAAGTTGGCAGCAACATCTCAAAAGTATTGAAAATTATGGAAGAACAATTCTTCTTTTTTAAAATTCATTGGTAAGCAATTTTTTTCCCTCTTCTAATCGTTTGTATTATAACCATTATCATATCATAATTTCTGGGATTCAATAATACAAAATTTTTTTTCTATTTTCACTAAACACAAGAACAACTAACTAAGCAACAGTTTCAAAGCCGGTCACTGACCATACAAGAAAAATATGAGAGAAAAAAAAAA